AGCTACCTGGGAGGCTGAGGCAGAAGTTGTTGCCAGCTGTCCGGGCTAGTGAGATGAGCTGGGTTCAAAGGAGCTGGCTATATCAATAACTAGGAAAATAGTGAAGATACTACGCAGCACACGAACATAAGTTTCTAAAATTGAGAGTGGGACTGCTCAGTGACTACAAGGGTCAGCTCCACGCTGGGCAGCACTGCAGAGGAAGAGAGCGTGCACCCGGATTCTTTTTATTTTATAGGGGGAACACATACAAGGGAGGTTCAAGGGAATGTTCTTCACCAAATAAGGCAGGGAATAGCGTTTCAAAGGTGGAGTCTTGCTTTGTGATATCTTGTGATCAGCCAATTGATTGACATCTTGGCAAGTCACAGCCATCAGAGTTGCGTGTGGGATCACAGGCAGATAAAGAGGAAAGGCACATTTGCGTTGCACAGCCCAGTCAGCATGCAATGCCAGACCAGTCCTCTCATACACTCAAATGCACATAGATCATACACACAGCCCATGGATGGCTCACGACAAGGAGGATTGCCAAGTTCTAGGCCAGCTTGAACAACTTAGTGAGAACCTGTCTCAAAATGAAATATAAAAAAGGAACACACCTGGGTTCAATACCCAGTTCTCTCTCTCTCTCTCTCTCTCTCTCTCTCTCTCTCTCTCTCTCTGTGTAAATACAGAAGGGCTGCTAATTGAGTATTTGTAAAAATACTAAGTACACCAAGTTTCAAGGGTATGTCCTAAACTTGAAAATTTCTAATGGGATGCATGGCACTATCAATTCTTAATTCATCATATTCACATGGAAGAACAATGATTTTAGAAAGTATCTTTAATATATACTTGAATTTGGGAATCGATAATTTCAGTTATACATTCATAGAATCAGAATGATTGAATTGAAAAGGAATTTAGAGATTGTTGAACCTAGTGATTCTCACAGTATGCCTGTGATCAGCAACATTTGGATCATTTAGAAACTTGGTAGAAATGCTGTTTCTCTGGTCCTGCTCCAGACCCACTTAATCAGAAATCTGGAAGTAGGGAAAAGTACTATAATTTGTTTTAATAAGCTCTCCAGGTGATGATTATGCATGCTAAAGTCTGAGAATCATTGATTTAATCCAGACCTCTGAAGGGAAAGTGGGGAATGAGAGATAGGTGAGAGAGAAATGAAAGACAGAGACCAGGCAGAGATACACAAGAGAGTTTGTCAGAGCTGACAAATAAAGGCCGTCTCTCAATAGGAGAGAGGCAAAACAAGCTTGAGTTCTGGGACTTTTATGGGGGAGGCTCAGGAACCAGAGCCAGGTGGGCCCTAATGTGGGCAGTTAAGGGCTGGGTTCATATGAAGGAATGGTGAGCTTTTCTCAGAAAGGCGCTTTGGCGGGAAAGTGAAACTTTTTCCTTAAAATGGTAGCTGTCACTTAACATAGTTCTTCAGATGCTAAACAAGGACCTTATATTCACCCTTTTTTGTTTTTATTGGGCCCTTTAGGGAATAGGGACCTGGGTCAATCTTCTATAACTTCGTCCTACCGGGAAGCAGTAGTGTTTGAATCCCTCATTAGGGGCATGAAATGTTATTGGAATGATAGATGAGGATGAGTGGTGGTGGAATGCTGTCCCTGATGCCCCAATTTTTGGTGAGGGATTGGTATTCCTGTAACAAAAGCTGGTTTATGGTTTGCTTAGAGATTTTTTGTATCTGGTCTTGAATGAATCTAATGACACAGGGGGCAAGCATTAACAGAAGGTCTATGACAAGAACAGGAGTCAGGAAAGGAAGTGCTCACTGGAGAAGGGGGTTATTTAGCTGCCATCCTTCTGTAGAGAGAGCTGTTGTTTCCCATGTTTAAGGTTCTGTTGGAGTTGTTTTATCTTGTCCTTTACTATACCAGATTGATTGACATAAAAATAGCATTCCTTCTGTAGATACAAAGTCCGCCTTTTCTGGCCATAAAAAGATCAAGGCCCCTTCAATTCTGCAGAACCACAGCAGCTAAAGAATCAAGCTGGGATTGTATGGTTAGTATGGTTTGGGCAAGTTGCTATAAGTCTCCTAGAAATTCGAATGATAATTCCTAAAAATGGTACCCCTGGGAGGTGAGTGCACAGTAAGGGAGGAGGGCAAAAATTAAAAAGAGAAGATGGTATTCATGGTTCTGCAGTGTCCTCGTGGTCCTCAGAGACCGAAGGAAGATTGGGGGTTCTGGCCTTGGAGAAACACAGTCTGAGAAGGCCTGTGGGCGTCACTGTATAAAAGGGTGGGGAAAACCACCCTTTCAAATGGGAATTATAAACCCAATATGGGAGGCCCTCAAGGTAGGCCGCTGAGGGAGTGATAAGAATGACCTAATAGAGTCCAGGTAATTTTGTGGAGAGTTGTGAGGAGAAAGGGAGCCTGTTTGGGGGTGTTAAAAAGTACCAGGTTGCCAGGAGACAGAGTGGGAGAAGGGAAAGAGGTAGAACTAGGCTTTGCCAAAACAGCATTACTGTATTGTCAAAGAAGGTTCCTAATGTATGCCAGAAGGGGCCAGAAAAGATAATGAGCAAGGGGTAGTAAAGAATCAGAGGTTGGCGAGCTGAGCAGGGAGATAGGCCATCCATATAGAAGCTCGAAAGGGGAGATATTGAGTGGCTTCTTTGGGAGGGCTCATAACCTAAGAGCCAAAGGAAGGAGTTTAGTCTAATCTGAATGTAATTCAAGGGATAGTTTAGTGAGAATGTTCTTCAAGGTCTGGTTGGTACATTCACCTTGCCAGAGGAATGAGGATGGTAGGGTATATGAAAATGCCAGGAGATGTTGAGTGCCTTAGCTACAGACTGTGAAACATGGGAAGTAAATTCAGGACCATTATCAGACTGGATTGAGGAGGGGAGGTCAAATCAGGGAAGAATGTGTTCAACGAGGGTGTTGGCCAACATAGTGGCACATTTATTGGTTGTAGGAAAATCCTCCATCCATCCTGAGAAGGCGTCAACAAGTATCCAGAGAAATTTGTACTACTTGACTGGGGGCATATGGGTGAAATCCAGCTGCCAATCAGAGCAAGAGAGATGTCCTCTTGCCTGGTGTAAAGAGAAGGCAGGTGGGCAGAGATTGGAGGTGGGATTGGTTTTTTTGGCAGATTTCACAGGAGGCAGAGAGGGTAGAGAGAAATTATAGGTCCTCTGGAGAGAGAGAGAGTTTAAGGTGAGAGAGTTTAAGCAAGGACCTTATAACCTCTTCTTTAAAATTGGAATTAGGAGCCTAAAGATATTAGCTGGAATTTATAATACTTAAAAGTGACTTGGTATGAAAGAAGCCTAACTCAGTTTGCTTAAAAGACATCTTTTATACAACTCCACCTTGTTTCCCATTCCAAGGATATTAGCTTCTTATGGTTGCTATAACAAGTTACTTTACCACTATTATCTTAGAGTTCTATGAGGTCAGAACATCTGTCTCATTGGGCTAAAACATGGTTGTTAGCTTTCCTTTCTGGAGACTCCAGCAGAGAATCAGTTTCTTTGCCTTTTCCATCTTCCATAGGTCACTCACATTCCTTGATTCCTGGAACCTTCCTCCATTTTCAAAGCCAGTATATGTATATTTTAAAATGAAAGGCTTATTTTCTTTATATTTTAGAGTCTGTACATATGACCAGTCACCCCACATCTACCTATTATCCACATGCCTCATTGGCACAGATTATGTCACAAAGCATCACAACAGGACCCTGCAACCTCAAGCAACAAAAATAACAAATTATAAATTCTACTCATTGCACTAATCTTACTAAATCAGTAAATATTACCACTTAATTATAGGAAAATGCATTTTAAAAAGTATTAAACAAAAAGGTTGCGTGCTTAAACCATGGTTAACAGGACAATTAGAACTGTTCATTTCAAAGTATTGTATTCAGTTCTTCAGAATCATTTTAATTGCTGTTGAATTTTTATTAAAATATAAAATAGATTTTTCTTTATTTTTGTTTTGTGGTACTAGGAATTGAGCCCAGGAACTCCAATATGCTAAGCAAGTGCTGTGCCACTGGGCTCCACCCCCAGCCCTTTTTATCTTTTGAGACTGGCTCTTGCTAAATTGCAGAGGCTGGGCTCCAACTTGCCATCTCCCTGCCTCAGCTTCCCTAGTTGCTGGAATTTGAGGAATGCGCCACCCTGTCCAGTCCCACAGGTTGTTTTTTTTTTTTGGAGGTGGCTACTGAAGGATTTAAGAAAAATGCTGATTAGAGTACTACATACCAAAAGTAGGCGAGTTTCAGTAGACTATGGGGTAACTTAGTTTTTTCTGTCTCTTCCATATTTTCACTAGTGAAAATACAGCATTTTTATAACATTAAAAAACGAAAGAAAAAAAAGAATCATCAACACAATGGTTGACGGTATCAAAAAGATCCAGACATCTGTAGTTATAAGGCCTGATTTGTAGGGTAGTGTATGGTCTCTGAAGTCTCAGACACCTAAGTGACAAAGGTCTTGTTTTTCAACACTTCCATCCAAAGTGTAGTGATTAAATGTTGTCTGATAAATAAAACTTATTTAAAAATGAATGTGAACCTTTTCTGGACATCTACCATCATTTTTCTTCAGCTGGCAAATTTTAGAGCCTCCTCACTGACACGAACTCGCAACATTTCCTCGCATTTGTGGTGGCCCAGGACCACCTGCGCCCCCCCACCCGGCCGCGTGCACACGCCACTCTGCGATGAGGCCTTTGGCAGTGGGGATTTTGGACGTAACCTGTGCAGGCCGAGCCGGTGCCCCAAAGGCCGGCCCTACAGGGAGCCTGGGCAGTGGCGCCCAGGGTCGGGATCTGGTCGGCGCCGCAGCCGGCTCTGCCCGCGAGCCGAGCCTGGGCCCGGAGGGGGAGCCGCACTGGGGGCGCGGGGCGGGGGCGGGAGCCTGGCAGCAGCTCCAGAACCCGTGGGGGAGGAGCGGCGGCGGTAGAGCTGCTGTGGCGACCGACGCGAGGCAGTGGCAGAGGAGACCCACCCCTGTCCACATGGACAGTCGTGAGGGCCTCCGCTGATGCATTCACGGCTGGGCGGGGTGGGCGGACGGCCTTAGCGGCGGCGGCTGCCGAAGAAGCGAGTGATCCGGAGGCGCCTGACGGTCGCGGAGACCTAGCCGCCCCGGCGCGGCGGGTGCGGCCATTTTACGGCCTGGGACGGAGGGAGGCGTGTTTGAGTGCTCGCCTTCCTTCTCCCTTCCTGGGGGCCCGCGGCTGAGCGAAGCGTCCCTGGCGGCCTGGGTGGGCGGTGGATGGGGAGTCGTGAGCCGAGAGGAACTAGGCCCGGGAAGCGCCGTCGCCGTCGTCGCCGCTCACGTTCCCCCGGAGGAGCCTGAGGAAAAGCCCAGGCCGCGGGCCTCGCTATCGCCCGTCAGCCTGCGGATAGGCCCGGGCGCGCCTGGCCTGCTTTTGTGTAGGCCCGTTTGGAGGTGGGAGCGCCGCCTGCCTGCCGGCTGAGCCCGAAGCCCGCAACCCTGCGGCGGCTACCCTCCTACGGCGCGGCCCCTCATCCCGGCGAGCACGGCGGCGGTGTGGGCCATGGATTAAGAAGGAGGCGGCGTGGGAGGAGGAAGATGGCGGCCGGCAAGAGCGGCGGCAGCGCTGGGGAGATTACTTTTTTGGAAGGTACGTCTGTTTCGGCCTTTGCGGGGAGGGTAGGGGAACGTGGCCCCCGGGACTCCGGATAATCAGTTATCTGCGCTAGGTGGGTGTGGGGGCGGCGGAGTGCGAGGGGTGGGCCAGGGCGGAGAGGGAATGTGCCGCGGAGGCGCCGGGTTCGAGACTGCCGGGGCGCGGGGCTTGGCCGCCCCAGTTCGAGGCGGCGCGGGTGGATCGGGCTGCGAGCCCGAGTTTGTGGGCGTCTTTCCGAGAGTTCGCACAGAAGTCTTTGACATTTAAATTTTTTTTTTTTCTTCTGACGGTTGCCTAAGATAAGAGCAGACTGCACTAGGGTCTTGTTGGCGTTCGTGGAAAGTTTCGAATTGCTAAGGTTGTGTGGAATTGGGGGCCGCGCGAGGGGAGGGGAGGGGAGAGGTATTTTGGTCTTAAATACCCATCCGTCTGTTCCACAGAGCTTCGGGCTTCCTTTTGCAACCGGCGTTCAGATTAGGCCTGGCTGTGTCCTGTAGTCTTAGGAAATGTGTGTGTGTGTGTTTTTGCTAAACATATTTTCTAAAATAATTTATTTGGAGAAAGAGATTGAGGTTCACAGTGTCGGTTTTGAAACAGTCACTAAAGCTAATAGACGAAGTTTAGGTGTTTCCATTTTGATTCACTTGTGAGGAGAAGTTAAACATTTACTGTTAGTGACTCTACTAGTCTTAAGAAAAGCTGTTTTCGTTGGGGATGGTGTTAGTGGGTAACCATTGGCTTATTGCCCGTGTATATAAGGACCCTCAAAATACGACTGAATTTCGTTATAGTTGTGGACCAAGAACTTAAATGTTTAAATTACTTATTTGACAAAGGGTTCAGTGTTTACACTGGTAATCGAATTTGTAAATATATTTAGGGAAATGAGTCTGTACTGTATGTAATTTTAAAAAAATAATTACTCTGTATAGTTTTTTAACTTTTAAAAATGGAATATGTAGAAGTGATAACTTTTTAAAATAACTAGAAGCATTATTGAATTTTAGAAGTACAATTTAATTTAAAATTAAGCAAGATCCTTAGTGGTAGCAGGAGGTGTTGGGATGAATGTGACTTGTATACTGCTTTAACAGCATACACTTATGGGAACACTTAGTACTCAGTATTAGTCTAACGAATGAGTAAAGGCTAATAGAGGTGGAGAAAAGAAATTTGCTTAATTCTTCCTACTTGCATATAGAAGTGAAAAAGTCTTAACCTTTGATGTGCAGGTCAGCCTTAGAAATTCCTAGTAAGAAGATAATGCGGTGGGGGGGGGGCTGGGGTTGTGGCTCAGTGGTAGAGTGCTCACCTAGCATGTGTGAGGCCCTGGGTTCCATCCTCAGCACCACATAAAGATAAATAAAAAAAGGCATTCTGTCCATCTACAACTTAAAAAAAGAAGAAGATAATGCTTGTGAATTTTTATGAGTTCATTTCCTATTATCCATCCTAGTTTGGGCAGTATATGTACCTGTCAAGAGAATGAGAGTGGTTTTTGTGTTAACAGGTCAATGACATGTGTGTTATTTTTTGTTTTGTTTTGAAGTAGGAAATTGAAAAGATGACTTAGGTATTAATCAGTATGCAGATTATACTTTTGTGTCAAAGTAAGTTTCTGGCTTCTACAGGCTTCTGGTTCACTTTAGTTCTGATTGGATGAACATGAGGAGGATAAAAGTAATACAAAGGTAACATGTAACAGAGCTGATGGGAATTTGAAACTATTGCTTTTAGTTTATTCTAATTAAGGTCTATTAATATACAGGTGAGGTAAATTAGAGTTTCACCTTATGTCATTCAGCATTTTCTAAATAAACAAATACTATTTACTCCTACTTCTAATACTAGTAGTAGTACTAATTTTCCATGATTTTTTTTGGTTTCTCACACTTTTATTTTTTGTTATTTATTTATTTATTTTTTTAATATTTATTTTTTTTAGTTTTCAGCGGATACAACATCTTTGTTTGTATGTGGTGCCGAGGATGGAACCCGGGCCGCACGCATGCCAGGCGAGCGTGCTACTGCTTGAGCCACATCCCCAGCCCCAAAGAAGCAGAACTTTTACGAGTTTCCACTATCTGTTTAATATTTATTGTTTTAGTTTTCGGTGGACACAACATCTTTATTTGTATGTGGTGCTGAGGATCAAACCCAGCACTGTGCGCATGCCAGTCACACTTTTAATAATGAAATACTTTACTGTAATTTGCATATAATTTGTACTACGGTGTTTAAAGATTTCTAAATGTTTTCCCACAAGTTTTTAGATTTTAACATTAAAACATCTACACATTACACTTGGTGTTCTTTCCAACAGAGCTCTTCAAAACTGAAGTAGGTTTTCATTCACTCATCAAATATTTATAGTAGCCTACTCTGCTAGGCACTGTATCAAGTTGAATACAACAGTGCATAAGATAGTCAAGGTCCCTGCCTTCATAGAACTTTAATTTTAGTGGGAAAAACTGTCAGTAAACAAGTAAAAAATAATCCATTTAGAGCAGTCTTTTTTCACATAGTTCACTTTTTCACTTTAGTCAGGTCTGCTCAGACCTTACAATCTAAAAGTGTCATAGTGCTACATGTGCTCATGCGCACATGTACAAATGTGGCATTACTTTTACTGTTTTACTTTTCATGTCAGCCCTTATTGCATGATAAATTTATTTCTTCCCATTTTTCTATACTACTAAAATATAAGCTCTATACTACCATATTTATCTCTTTAATGTCATATTTCTGGCACTACCTGGAATGTGTTTGAAATAAACCAGATTATAACTGTTATAAAGGCTGTGGGAAAAGGTACAAAGTAGTGGTCTATAAGCTGTTTTACAGTGTTCAAGTAAAGGAGAGGCATCATTGAAGAGGTGATGCTAACCATCTTGACTATGAAACACTTCCAAGGGGATGATAGGTGTAAAGGCTCAAGGATGATATATAGTTCTATTCATTAAATAAAATGGAACTGATTATGACTGAAATGTAGCAAACCAAGGAGAGAGTGATGTAAGAGGTAAGAGATCTACCGTGCAGGCTAGTGAGTTTTTCTTTCTTTCTAGGCATTGGGAAGTCATTTTTAGAATTTGGGGCAGTGGGAGTACCATGATATTTATGTTTTTTAAAAATCACTGACTTCTCTATGTGGAATAAGAGAAGAGCAAGAGTAGCAGTAGGGAGATAAGTTAGAACGTTGTAGCAGTCTAGAAGTGGTGCTAGCTTGAAGTATTGCCATGGTAGCAGTGGAGATTGGGGGAAAAATTGAAAATACATTTGAATGTAGAGTTTGTAAGACAGAATGGATTGTATATTGAGGTGCAGAGTAAAGGAGAAATCAGTAAGGTTTTGGCTTGAGGTGTTGGGAGATAATGCCATTTACTTTAGTGAGTGCAAAGAGGAGTTAGCATTGCTTGATCATTCAAAGTTTGAGGAGCTATATGACCTTTGCTCCAAAATATATTTTGCTTCCTTATAACTACTAAGTGGAATTTTTTTTCCTTTTATGACTTTTTTTTAGGGAAAAGGAGACTTACTGCCTACTCTTGTACATTCTTTGTTTTGTTTATATATTATCACACTAAAATTGTATGAATTTTATTGGGCTATGGGTTGTTGAATTTATTTATCTAATTAGCTTTTCTCTTTTGGACTCATTTCTTTTGCATCTGTTTATTTACTGTTGTCTCATAGCTTTTTCCCACTTATGATAGATGGTTTTACCATTTTTCTCATTATTCATTCAATAGATATTTGTTTAGCACCTGTTATGTTACAGGCACTGCACTGTGAGGCACATGGTGAGGGGGAAGAAAGGGTTCTCCATAGAATTTCCAGTATGGTGAGGAAAGTCAATAATCAAACAATCACTTGTAAAATTAAAACCATCAAAATTTTATATATACATATAATATATATATAATATATATATATATATATATTATATATATATATATTTTTTTAGCTGGACACAATATCTTTATTTTATTTATTTTTATGTGGTGCTGACGATGGAACCCAGGGCCTCACACATGCTAGGCGAGTGCTCTACCACTGAGCCACAACCCCAGCCCCAAACCATCATGTTTTAAGAATTAATGATAGTTGTTTAAAATAGGATTTGACCTAATCAGGGTGGTTTGAAAGATGAATAGGAGAAGGGGAAGTAGGGAGATAAGAGCTTTCCAGGCAGAGGGAATAAAATAGGAGTGTGGCATATTAGGGGAACTAAGAAAGGACAATGTGGTCCTAGCAAGAAGAATGGTGCAATATGAAGCTAAAGGGACATCATCAGAATTGCTGCAAAAAAGGTCACCTGAAGATAGCCTTAGAGGGTCAACAGATTATCAGGGAAACCAGTTAGGAGATGCTTGCAGTGTAGGGCAAAGATGATGATAGCTAGCTTGTTCTAATAATTTTTTTTTTTAATATTTTCCCACTTTTCTCCTCTATGGGAGCTCCAACAAATCTTATTTTTTCTCATGTTAGATCTTTTTGTACTGTACTTGTTGATATCTAGCTTTCTTTCCTGTTGCCTTTTTTTCTACCATCTGAATTGCTTTACCTTTATTTTCTCCCATTTTTTTCTTGAAATTTTTTTTTCTACTTTCCCTTCCTAGGGTACATACATTACTACTTAAGTTTGTTTTCGTTTCAAGCCAGTCTCCCTTTATGGATGTTGTCCATTAGGTTGGAAAGATAGGTTGTTAAATCATTTCATTGTTGTCTTTTAGAACATGCTTCTGTCTCCAAACGAAAAATGTTTTCTATTTCCTCTTAGCCATATATGTAAATTTAGTCTAGAGCCCATTTGCCAGTTTTACTGGCAATTTTACTTGTAAAATTAAATTTTACTTGGGATTAGTAAATATTTAGTAAAAAATTAGTAAATATTTTATACTATCTCCTAAATGATTGGCATTCTGTGGAGTATGAGCAAGGTCTTTTCTTTGGGCCTGTCTCGGTACTATGCCTCAGTTCTTCCATTTAGT